ATGAACTGTGGAATTACCCCAATTAAACTCCTGCAGCAGGAAGAGGGTCCCAAGAGGTTTGCTGTGTAGTGGCTATATAGTTGAACAGCATCAATACTTTTCAGGGAGAAATATGAGCTTCCAGATACTTATGCATGTAGAACTAATTTGTTGGAGTTTATGCATGTATTCAAAGCTCTTCTGGCTTGCCACTCGCAGAGGTGAACCCCTTCAGCTGACTACAAGTTAGTTGTGATTCTGGTTAATGATGCTATTCAAAAACAAACATTAGTATCAGTAGGGAATTCTGAAACAGCAAATAAATTAAAAAACAAACAAACAAACAAACAAAACCCAAATCGCTGCTTCTAGGCAGAGATGTGATGGCTGATCTTCTGGTGTTACTCTTTGTCCAGAAATTGTCTCAAGCTTACTATAACCTTCTGGATACAACAAAGGCATGTGAAAGTCTGCTGGAGTGGGAAAAGGATGTTTTATTTATGGAAATTTCCTTTATCATTAACTGTCTTGTCCTGAGACAGATCCTTAACCCTCCTTCTGAATCCTGTTGTTTCTACTAGTCTGGCAAACTGCTTTAAAGCTTTCCTTACAAATAGACTATTTTGTCCTGATGCCTAAATTACACAGAGGTATTCTGTATTCTAGAGCTTTTTGTTCATAATTGAAGCAAGACTAAATTATTTCAAATTAATACAAATAATGTTTCTGTCCTATTGACTTCAAATGACAATAAGCTAATTTATGAATCAAATGCGTTTATTTGTATGCTTGCTTGACTAAACCTTTGAAAAATTTTCCAAATCGCTAACATGTTTGTAAACACATTATTGTTTTTCAGTGTTTGTACCTTGTTTTCAAATGAATAGTCATTTTTTGTAAACTCTGTATCTTAATGTAGATGAGTACAGTATGAATTTTACATGGTTCAAAACTCCAGAAATTATGTTCAGCATTAGAAAGGCTGGTTCAGCTACCATTCATGCTGTATTAGAGAAGCTGGATATTGACAGCACTCTCAAGTTTCCTTCTAAAGAAAAGTCAATTGCTCTTATCACTTTTACATGGCTATCAGTCCATTGAAATTAGTATTTTCACATTAAAAATGAGCTCTTTATAGTTTAATATAGCTTGAAGCAAAAGCAGAGAGCAGAATGTAGACAGCAGTCCTCAGTATATTTTGGAGAAAGCTTTACTTCAGTTTTGGAACATTGGTGTAGTAATTAAAACAAGTAACATCTTAATGCTGTCCTTAATCTGTTTTGTATCTTAAAAAATGAAATAAAAGTGTCCAATGCCTTTGTCTGCTACATTAGCCACCTACATTGGGGTATATGTTCCTAGAATGGCAATAGTAGCAGAAACTTGATCTGAAATTCTAGTTGCTAAATAGCTTCAGAAATTATGCAGCTCCTTCAGAGTTAGCTAGATTTTGTTGTTCAGAAATGTTCTTTCCAAATCTGTTCTGTTGAAATCAGAAAAAAATGTAAATGGTACTATCCACAGAGATCAGAGCAGCTGTTAATTTTTTAAAACGTGGCTTTCAAGTGATGTTTTTCAGTCAATGATCTTTCAATTTTTTATTGATAATTTCCTACATGGGATAGCAAGCTATTGTTGCTTGAACAAAGCTACAGTTTTCCCAGTGTTTTGGCTTATTTTTCCTACAGTTTCATATTCTGTACGAAGGCTTTACATCCAAAAAGTCTTTTAAAATTTGCATCACTTTCTGCAACCAACAATAGGATTCAAAGGGGATACTAAGCCAGCTGAAGCCCCATAATTCAAGAGCACATGACATATGATGATACCCTTCCAATCATATCTTATGTGTGAAGCAATACAGTTTTGCCATCCTCTCTTACTTAGATGTCATTTATCTGATCACCACACTCATTAAAGTGTATTGCTCATGTAGTTGCATGTCTAGCGCTTTGGGTAGGATTCATCTTACTGTCCTTGATATCTAATACAAAGGCACGTGTTTTTGAGCTAGTTTCCTGTTTCCTCTTTTTTAGTCAACAGGTAAAAAAGGCCTTTTTGCAGTTGTGGTTCATCTCTTCCAAAGACAACTAAAATAGGTTAGATGAAACTCCTCGTTGTTCATTAACTGGTGTTGCCTGGGAGTGTTTATACATCAATTTTAAATTAATTCTAAAGTTTCTGAAATCTACAGAAATAATAAGAGTGGCGAGTTAAAGTAAAAAGGAAATTGTTATAAAAACCAGTAAAGGATGTATTTTGCCTACTTCATAGTATTTGCTTCTGAAATTGGTACAGTATTGCATGTGAAAAGATATCTGTTCCTAGAGATCCACAATTCATTCTTGGCATTTTTCTTCTGTGTTTGTTACCATTTAGAAATGCTAATAAGTGAAGGTATTGCTTGAGTTAACAGTAGCCACATCATTCAAATGCACTTTAATAGGGCTTATCTCCTAATAGCACACACTTTATTGCTTATTTATAGTTTTTATTCTAGAAGATGTCAGTGTTCAAGATGAAAATAGAAATGGAAGCTTTGCTTCATTTCTGCAAGTGCACTGTGATTGCCATTCTCTAACAACAGTGTAATTTGAATTACCACTGTTAGTCCAACTGTACTGGAAAATGTTGTTAAAATAAATTATCATTTTAGCGTTTGTTAATTAACCCTAATATAGCCAATCCTCTTTGTGTTTAAAAACCCAAATGAAGGAAATGGAAGTTTTACCACTGAGTTCAACAAGATTTGGATGAAACTTTCTATGCATATTATTGAGGTGCTTTTTTTCTGAAATATGTAACATTTGAGTGTCAGAATTTTATTTTTTTTTTAGGCCAAGATGAGCTGCTCAACCTTGGTTATAAAAAAAAAGTCATCATAATGATGACTGCTTTATTTAATTATTTGTGATAGCGAGACACCTTTCATTGCTTCACATTTTTTCCCAAATTAATTAGGAAATCAAAATGGCCATTATTGAATGACAGCAGATGTCTCTGATCACCAGAGATCATTTAATGTGATGTACTGAGTGGAATTCTTGGTTTATTTTCATTTTGTTTTATATAATGGATGAATTTGAAAATCCGATTTCATCAAGGAAAACTTTGTAGGTAAAAAGAATGCATTTGTGCGTGTTATTGAACATATATCTTTTTGTGCAATGCCATTTATTATTATTATCATAGAATCATAAAATCATAGATTGATACAGGTTGGAAGGGAACTCTGAAGGTCATGTGGCTGAAAACCCGCACATAATGTCCGAATTTATCTGTTTACTCCACTTTTTTTATCATCATTGACATCTTTCCAAGGGATATTATAATTACTTAGCAAGTACGTTCTCCAAACAGTCTCAGAACCCGATGGGAAATTGTCTCTTTCTTTTCTGGCACCAAGTCTACCTGCTGCAGCAAGCGAATGGCTTGTCAGATGGATCTGCATGATTTTCCCTCAGCCCACCAGCTTTAAAATGTCAGCCTTTGTAACAGATTTTCCTCAGATCTGTTGGGAAATTTAAACTCCCACGAGGTTTCAAAATTTACATAAACAAATTCTCCTACTCTTACATTTCTTCTTTGCGCCTGGTTTACAAACAAGACCAACAGGTATCACTTATTTAACTGCTGATGTTTCTTTATTCATGACCGAGTCATTTGAGCTGATGAGAAATTAAGACAGTCAGCCTTTTTAACAAGGCAATTTTAGAATGCTATAGCATTAAAAGCAAGAAGAAAGAGTAGCAATAAGGTAAGGTAACTGCTCCTTATCCAGAAAAAGAGCACAGCAACAGAAATGATGATCTGAAAATCATTAAAGAAGGCTCTGTATTTCAAAGTTCTTATCTCATCCTCTTTGACACAATAATTGGGCATCAGCTGATGAATTAATTCTTAGTAGACAGGTGAGCAAATCAAAATTAACATTCAAATTGGACCATTCTTGGATGTTTAAGTAAAAAGAATAAAGATAAAATGGTTGTGAAGACAGAGTTATCTTTATATGCTCTGAGATCCCTAAAGGACAAGGTTAAAGCTCATTTGCGGGCTGATATGAAGAAGTATATTCTTATACTTTGGTTGGTTTCCAGGACCAATAATTTTAGATTTCTAATCAGTATAAAATTCACTGGACCAAGTTACAAAGAGCAGCTTCGCTCTCTTTCATACAGAAACCTTCTTTAAGGAACTCAGTCTAAATAGGTTTAAATGTAATTTCTGTGGACCACAAGGCTCTCCACAGTGCCAAAGTAGTGTGAGGACCCCTTTGTTGAAATGAAATGTGAGCCCATAGTGCCTTAGAGTTACCGAGCATATCCATATGGATTTCTCTTTTAAATATGTGCATGTGTGTGTCTTTATTACCTTGCACATTTTGCGTTTAGTATATGTCTATTCTTACACAATGAAATTACGGACTAATTAGTAGGTTTGATATGAAACTACGTCGTGTCCAGAGGCACTCCATACATTAACTTCCTTTTTTTTCTTAAAATGTCTGATTCTAACACTCGCACTGAGATTTTTGCCATGCTACCTCTATAGGTTGCTAGGCAGCAAAGTGTTACCCCCAAACTGTTAGCTCTATTCTGCATGCTGAGACTCTTTTAGATATCCTCAGCTGTTTGAATCTTCTTGCTGAGGGGTTTCCTTGATTGAGAGCAACTGCTTGCAAAGGTCACTGGTTCTCTGTGGATCAGCCCTTTTCTCTGATGTGCACATATCTTCTCATTTTATACTTCAAGAAACCCTGCAGCAATTGACCATGGTCCTTGAGACAAGCCTTGTGCAATTGTCCCCTACTCCATGTTGAATGGTGCCAATCGCTATGTATAATAATATTTATATGGAAAATGATACTAAAGTTATAAGGACAAAAAAAATATGTGTGTGCCAAAGTTAAAGAGAAAGCCACTGGAAGCCTAAAGTTATAAGGACAAAAAAATATGTATGTGCCAAAGTTAAAGAGAAAGCCACTGGAAGACATTAAAACTGTTCTTTTTTTTTTTTTTTAGGGCAAGTTCTGAATATGCTGGAGAAATATAATCTGAGCAATAAAACTCTTGTATACTTTACATCTGACCAAGGGGCTCATGTTGAAGAAATCTCCAGTTCTGGAGAAGTCCATGGAGGATACAATGGCATATATAAAGGTGAACATTCTCTGATGGTTCTTAAAAACTGTGTCAGAAACTATCACCTCCTTGTTTTTGTTCCAAAACTATAATGTACTCAGTGGCCAAGGTCAAAACTTATTTCCTTAATACTAAACTTCTCATGACTGTCATTCTAAATTCAAATGTAAGCAGTAAATATAAAGGACTTGTCAAATACAGCAGCTCAAGCAGTGTACATGCTCAGCCAGAGCTCTGTGGAGTTTTAACACTAACAAATATACTCTTGAACTGGGCAGAGATACAGCTTTGGAAGGATGTCAGTTCATAGTACTTTGCTATAATGGCTGGATGACGGAATAGAAAGGAAAAAAAAGGTGGTTTGTAAGCAATCAGGAATCATAAATAGGAGCTAAATGGAGTGAGTGGGATCACGCAACGATAGGATATTAAGATATAGAAAAGATGGGAGAAACAGCAACAGAGTCCAGTGTATTCATTACAGAAAAGCAGGAAAGGAATTTTGGGTTAAAAAAGAAAAATTGAGGAGTTGGATTGAGTTTGGGATGGGCAAGTTTGACAACAGCCAGAAGAGGACAAGATTTCAAGCCAAAAACTTTGACAAATATTGACCTCATTGTCAAATATGAAATAAAGGATTCCCTCTGACAAACTGCAGAAAACCTGTTTTCTGGTGTCCAAGTGATAGACACACAGCATCAGGAAAATAAATGTCAAAAAGTTTTTAATAATTTTCAATATTATCGAAATAGGGTAGGAATGCTTGTTTTAATTATTTTTAATTAAATGCTGTGAGTATTCTTTTAACAGAGATAAAGTTCTTTTCACTCTTTCACTAGGAAGTGGCTGTGTAATTTGTTTTCCCTTCATATTTCAGGGGACAAGATCAAAAAAATCCAACAGTTTTCTGAAATCCATTTACAAAACTTGAAACTTTTAGTTGTAGAGAGAAAGAAATAAATTGCCTTTAGGTATGATTTTTTTAAAAAGTGGTATTGCAGAACTACAAAATCACGTAGTAGTTGAGTCTGGAAGGCACCTCCCAAGGTCTGCAGTCCTGGCCCCTGCAGAGCAGGGTTAGCTAGAGCAGTTTGCTCAGGGCAGTGTCAGTCAAAAAAAGTCCAGTGATGGTTACTCTACAGCCTCTCTGGTCAACTTGGTCCAGTATCTGATCACACTGTAAAAAAGCTTTTTCTTATGTTTAAATGGAATTTTCCGTGTTTGTGTCTGTTGCCTGTTGTCCTGTCAGTGGGCACCACTGAAAAGAGCCTGGCTCTGTCCACTTTACTCGGGCAAATCCATGTATCCATACAGATGGGTAAGAACCCACTGAGCCTTCTCTTCTCCTGGCTGAACAGTCACAACGTTCTCAGCCTCTCCTCATATGTTGAATGCTCCAACTGCTTAATAATTTTCATGGCCCTCCTTTGAGCTCACTCCGGTATATCCCTGTCTCTCTTGTACCAGGGAGCTCTCCACTTGGACCAGGAACTCCAGGTGCATCTCCCCAGTGTTGAGCAGAGGATATGGATGACCTCCCTCAGCTTGCTGGAAACGTTCTTCCTAATGCAGCCCAGGATGATGTTGGCCTTCCTTGCCACAAGGGCACATTGCTGGTTTATGTTCAGCTAGTTGTCCACCAGGACCCGCAAGTCCTTTTAAGAGCTGCTTTCTAGCCAGCCGGTCCCCAGCCTTTGCTGGTGCTAGAGGTTATTCCTCTGCAGATGCAAGACTTGGTATTTCCCTTTGCTGAACTTCATGAGGTTCATTTTGGCCTGTTACTCCAGCCTGTCAAGATAACTCTGGATGGTAGCACAACCATCAGTGGATCAGCCACTTCTCCCGTTTTGTATCATCTGCGAAAATGTAAAAAGAAAGAAAGACAGGTATATACAGTAATCAATAACAATATAGTGATGTTTTCACAGAATCACAGAATCAGAAAATGGCAGGGGTTGGAAGGGAGCTCTGGAGATCATCTTGAGTATACCCCTGATTAAGCAGGTTCACCTACAACAAGTTACACAGGACCACGTCCAGGTGGGTTTTGAATATCTCCAGAGAAGGAGATTCCACAACCCCCCTGGGCAGCCTGTTCCAGTGCTCTGTCACCCTCAGAGTAAAGAAGTTTTTCCTCATGTTCAGGTGGAACTTCCTGTGCTCGTTTGTGCTCGTTGCCCCTTGTCCTGTCACTGGGCACCACTGAAAAGAGCCTGGCCCCACTTTATAAGAGTTGATAAGGTCCCCTCTCAGTCTTCTCCAGGATAAAGAGCCCCAGGTCTCTCAACCTTTCCTCATCAGAGAAATGCTCCAGCCCCCTCGTCATCTTCGTAACCCTCTGCTGGATTCTCTCCAGTAGTTCCCTGTCTGTCTTGGACTGGGGAGCCTAGAACTAGACACAGCACTCCAGATGTGGCCTCACCAGGGCAGAGTAGAGAGGGAGGAAAACCTCCCTTCACCTGCTGGCCACACGTTTCTTAATGCACCCTCAAACTCCAGTGAGAAGACTCCAGACTTCTTAGACTGTAGCTATCTGTCTGGGAAATGACCCTTAGATTTTAAGAGCTGTGAAGGAAATACTACACAAGCAAAACAAGCAATGCCAAAGCCATCAGGTTACAAACTATCAGATGGGTCCCCTTGGGCTAACACCAGAGTGAAATCTATCTTGAACATTAGCACATAGGCCTTACACAGTGATTTAAGTAATTAAGGAACCATATGGTTACATATCTGTAGCTGTAGGCACAGCCTGAGGTGTTTTAGAAGCTCTAAAAAATATTTTCCTTTTAGAATGCCAGACATAAGATACAGGATAAATGACAAGGAGGAAAAAGAAGACAGATACACTGGGGAGTATGCCTTCCTGAGGAAGTTTGATTAAATGGAGTCTTTTCTATCAAGCCTTGCAAAATTTTGTATTCATACTTACAGATTGAAGAACAATTTGAAATAGATCTTACCTGAATTAATAAAAAATCTGATTGATAGGGTTACTTGGGTAGTGATGGGGCTTCTGAGTTTTAAAATGAATTGTGTGGTTTGCCGTTACCACCTATGCTATCCTGGCAAATGTTGCAATATATTATGGGATAGAAAATAATCACTATAAAAACACCAAAATAATTATTGTATGAGAGACATTCTTAATAAAATAAAAAGAAATTAAAAGACTCATGCAATCAGTAAAATATACTTTTACCATTTTAAAATACAATGACTTCTGCTTTAT